ATAAGATCGAGGGGGCTGGGAGGAAGAACCTACGGCAGCCCCACAAAAGCCCGATGGATGAAGCCGTGAGGACGAGAGGTCTGCCACAAAAGGGGCTCTAGACCCTTGAGCCCAATTACCTGCAAAGCCCCGTCGGGAATTACAACAGCAGTCCATCAATGGAAAAACCACAACAGCGTGACACGGTGACTCAAAGATCTAAAATGGACACCTTACGACTACAGAAACTAGTGCTAAAAACACTGTAAACAAGAACATTGCTGTCATGACCGACACTAGAGCAAGCCTCGTTGGACACTTAAGGAAAAAGGCAAAAAGAGAAAAATAGAAAAAGCTTGCATGCCCAGGACTGTGATAAGACACACCCTTCCCTGGAGATTTTTAAGAGCACAAATAAACATCCTCTTCTCCAAGAAATACAAGGGAAGACAGTGACGCAAGCCTGCACTGGAAATAAGTGCCTAGTCAATGCCTCTAAGTTACAATTTCTGTGACACGCTGATGGACGGTGAAGGGACAGACGCAAAAATTATCTCAGGGAATGAAGTAAGAGGCATGGAGGAGTAGAGACCTGAGAGTTCCAGAGGGTATATTTTTATGTACCTTAATGTACCCAATGCAGGGCCAAACATCAGACAAGTCTCATCTCAGAAAGCATGTTCCTATGCGGAAGCCCAGACAGTTTATGCTGCGTCTTTCATGACTTCTTCCTATCTCCCATCAGCTGTGGAGAGACAAAACCAGAACAGAAGTGATCAAAAACCAAATTAAACTGCACAACCCATCTGAAAAAAAATGGTGAACCTGCCTCCCTTACCCAACCATCCCCTGGTCCCAGAACTTAGAGAAACCCCTTCTCTTCTCCTGAACCCGCAGGGAAGGAAAGCCACTCCTTCCCAACAGCTCCTTCCCTGTATTTGCAACCCTGAACCTCCCATGTCAGCCGCTCCTCTGGAGCTGCTCTTCAAAGCTGTGCCCCATGTTCTGCGAGCTCCCCTTACCTTTCATCTTCCTGTAGACTCCAGGCTCTGCTACAGACCCACAAAATAAGTTAAGTCCTCACGCTTATGATCTATGAGGAGCCTACTGCAATCCGCAAAGGTTCTAGGGACAACGTGGTACTCTGTCAGCAATTAAGAAAGAGGATGGACCGTTCCGTACCCTGAAAGACACTATGCCTTATGTCCCTGCTGCTTTCTTGAAAAATGTTAAAACTCCGTATACAAATGGATACAAGATGCCCACCTTAACCCCTGCTAGATCATCTCACCATCAGTACTATTAAGAAAAGGTGTCAAGAACTTCCGTGGCAACAACACACTTAAAATAAAAAAAGAAAATCCAAGCTCAGACTATTAATCCATCTTACCGCTCCTAAACACCCAATACAATACTGAGGAGAAAAAAAAAAAAAAAATCTGCACACAAGTGTATTTTTTACTGTATATGATGCTGAACCTTGACTAGTCCCACAGCCCTTACCTCAAACAAACACTTCTGCTTCTCTCAATATCAAAAAACACCTACTCAAATAGCTAAAGCAGGTCAAAATCAGCAATTGACTGAAGGAACAGCAGAACGCTAACACCCATGAAACCCAAAAGCAGAATGAGCTCCCTAAGGCGAGGCTGCGGCTCATACACCCCTGGCCCAGCCCACCGCCCTTCCCACATTCACCTGGGAAAGGGGAGGGACAAACCACCAGATGGCATAAAGGCTGCCGGAGGAACAGCAGGGAGGTTTCACCCATGCCTTAGGTTTGCAATGTGCAAAAGACTTAAATGGGGAAAGTGACCCTTACTAGAAACGAGAAGATCTGCTCTTTTACAGCAACAGCACCTATCGCATTAGCAACGTGACCGGGTAAGGAATTAAATGTATTTTTTCTGGGGTGCAGATCGAATGAGGTAGACATCCTACTAAACTATGTAAGAAAGAAACCCGTTAAACTTGTTAGCGACATTATTACCAAAAATTACACGCTTTAGTTTCCCATAAAAAAACACGATGCTATGGGGTTACGCTTCATTTTTAGTGAGACCACGTGCGCTACTTAACTTCCACCGGAAGTACGTCCTGGATAGAACTGAATGACAAAGTGTAATTAGATCCCATAAAAATCCTTTCTCAAAAATTCCTCCGGTCGCAAAGTAAATTATTTACTGTAAATCACCAACATTACAGTCACCTCAATGGTCTCTCCGACAGACTCCCTTAATAGAACTAGATGAGTCCTAAGAGACGAAAAACACAAAAACCCCATAGAAATACAAAAAACATCTCAGAGGCTGTATAAGGCAGCTGAATGAATGCCTACATAGCTAGAACAAATATAAGTTGCAAAACACAACAACAAAAGAAACCATGGGAGATCTATCGATAAAAAGATCTATCTTGAAAAACTCAAGAGGAAATCTGAACCGATGGTAGATGTCTTTGGGGTACCAGCCACCAAATAGAAACGTACCGTAAGACAAAAAACCAAAGGGACTGCTGCGGAGCACAAAGATGGCTTTAGAAAAGGTTCGACAGAACGAGAGGCATCGTCGCAGGGATCGGAGAGGGCCAGAGAGACCAAAGAAGTCTCGAGGACACAATGAGCTCTAAAGGGAGTCAAACAAAGGACGGATGTCCTTGGGGACCAAATGGAGGCACGCCGAATGGGTGAGAGGACGGAAGGACCGACCGGGGTAACAGAGGTGGACTCGGGAAGGGCTCGGAGGGGAAAAGAGGTGCACAAAGCGCCCTGCTGCACTAAAACAGGGCTTTTTTTCTAAAACAGGGCTTTTATGTTTTACGTTTAGCGCGCTGAGCGCCCACCAACAGCGTGCCCATGGGGCGGCACGGCCGTTTCCTTACCAGGAGGTAGCAACGAGTGCGGCAGCATCACCCTGCATGCACTGCAGTATCATACTGCCTTACCAGCAGACAGCAACATAGACCACAGCGGCACCTCCGTGCATGTGCAGCGCCTCACCTGCAGCACCGTTATTCGGATGCCGGGCAGCCCGCCACCACGCACACACTCTTGAGGTGTGGCTGCACCGCTTGTGCAGGAGTGGCTGCAGCTAGAAGCCTGCAGAAAACCACGTGAAGCCTGCAACAAAACTGCACCTTGCGCCACGCCGCAGCGGCAGCAAGGACTACGCCTTGCCGTACGTACCCTAGAGCAACGTGGCTGCCTGGTGGCCACGTCCATAAAAACTACACCTCCTGGCGTGCACTGGCAAACGCAGCTTGGCCACCCGGCAGCTCAGTGCCACAAGACTACAGCTCCCGGCACGCTCTGAGGAGCCAACATGGCCAACTGGAAGCCCCTTGCCCCAGGACAACAGCTCTCGGCATAGCTGCGAGAGGCGGCCTTCCCTGCTTTCTAACCCTGCGAGGACACCGTTCCCCCTGCCTGCCAACGCACCCGCACACCCTGCCGAGCCCCCAGCGTGGCTCCAGTCAACGCCAGCCACATGGCGTGGCTGCCCCTGCTGTTATCCCAAATCTGGGGTCATTAGCCTAATTAACACACAGAGCCGAGGTGTTTTATTCCCTTCATATTTGCAGTTGCACAAATCTAGCACACCTTCGTAGAAAACTACAGCAATATTTATCCTGCTACGTGTTTAGTATAAACCCGCCCAAATTTACACTTACTGGTGTACCACACGGACCCCGCAGGCACCATGGGATCGCATTGCTTTTACTGGCGAATGGCAGCATGGATCACATGGACGCCACCACGTACGCGCAGCTCCCGAGCTGCGGTGCCAACCTCTGGTCGCTCGGCGCAGCATCATCTTAATTATTGTTTTCCATAGCATGACAAATGACTGATACTTCAGCCCAGTTTGTACCATCCAAAGACAGCAACTGCTTACTGGGGGTACAGGGCTTATATTTCTCTGCCCTTTTCCAACTCGCAGCTGTTTC